TATTGATAGCATTGATGAGTACATTCTATCCGGCGAGAACTTAATATGCTGTTAGACAACGCGGGTTACGATTTATGGATAAATTACACAGACGTAATGTACAGATGCACTCGCTATGCCCTCCTTGGCATTTCTCATAAGCTCCACCCTCGTTTATTATTACCTTTTAGTTTATAACATTTCATATGCTCGAAATATGTTTATTTTTCACTGTGACTCTGTAATGTGGCGCTTTCAGTTCCATCTTACTTTCCTAATCAGTCGGTCTTCAATAGGCAGGTTCTGAAATAATAAAAATCGGGTTTTTTTCAGTCAGCAGAGCCGCATTTGAGAGACCATGAATTTTTCAGAACCAGGACGTCCCGTATCTGTGCACCGATGAGTTACCCACCTCTCTTCCTTCCAAAGTTCATAATCGAGTAACGTTCCTCGGGAAGGAAGCAAAAGACATGCTAAACTTGCCGCATTGATGTAGACTATACGTTTAGAAAGGACACACTTGTCATTATATCTTTCCTGGCTGATGGAATGGAAATGAATCTCAGCTCCCTACGATTAACATCATGAAAAGAAGGACACCGGAAATGGCTCCATCATGAAAGTGTAAGAAGGATTAACATTCTAATAATGGCCGACTTTTATTTCTTTGTTTTCCTTCTGAAATAGTTTAACCATCCATTTAACAGCGTTGTTCTGGTAAATGCAACAGTTTCAAACAGTTAGACCTCTCTTCTTTGATTGAGTGATGGACAAAGACTAATCTAAACATAGAATCATTCTTTCACAACTGAACACTCAGTTATTAAACCTTAAATATCTGAAATAGTGAATAATAAGATATTATATTGTACAATAAGTCGTGCTATATAAATCGTATGCCTTACAACATCAGGAGTTTTGTCGATCCCATTTAGCAGGGAATGAAAACAGGCCTTCGTGGCAACTGTAGTGGATCAGCAGCGTTCGTTACCCGTTCTTCTCGCTCTCTGTCTTTGTACCTGACTCTCTGTCTCTCACTGTCGTCTCTTTTTCTCTCATGGGATTCCGTACTGTTCGCCTTTG